GAAATTCTAGTGCGGTTAGATTTTATATTTAGTTAATTTAATTTAATTGGAGTTTATTTTGATAAAAGAACATTAATAATCCCATCTTTATGGATTTATACAATTATTTAGATATCAGTAAAATTACAGTTGTTCATTGAAAAATGAAATGCTGGATATCATTCATTAGATTTTTGCTGGATTATTTATAGAAGGATGAGGCGACAAAAATTCAGTAGAATAAACAGTAGAATTCAGCGATTAACCTGAACTTAAAAGAAATATATATATTATTAAATATATAGCTGAGAAAAAAAAAAAGCTACGACTACTTTAGCTTCAGCAATTATGGGTTTTTGCTATACATTAATTAATCGTTCCATATGTAGAGTAGAAATTATTCCTATATTGTGAAGGTGTGGAATTATTTTAGTCTCCTTTGTAATTAGAGAAATTTAAAGAATGTAAAGAATTCGTTTCGAGATAATTACTATACTTATTCAATTCGTCTTTAAAATATAAATCTGATATTATTATGGTATTCCTTAATCTTCAGGTCTCATATATAAATAGACAAATTTTAACCTTATTATATAGCTCTTCCCCTTCGAAAGTAATTAATTGAATACTTATATTATAAAAGTAATAATAATTAGATTTTCTATAAAATCAATAGATTCATATTCAAATAATATATTAAAAGTCTTAATTCCATTAATACTAATAAATATATTATATAAAAATTTATTTTAATCAAAATTAATAGAATCAAAAATTAGAAAAGCAAAGATGTATCACTTATATATGATAAATATGAACATAAAATTAAAAACAAATATTCCAGAACTAAAACAATAATAAAATTATAAATGATTTGAAGATGTTTTTACTCTTAATTAAATTAATAAATAAAGTTGAAGATTTATTTATAAAAGTAATGAAATTATTAATCTAGGATTCAAATTATTAATAAAATCATACATAAATAATGAAAATCATAAATATGGGAGAGTAGTAAAATTTGTAGATTTTGCAATGCCCATTAATTTGAAATCAATATTTTTTTCTGTAATTTTATTACTATTTTTGTGAGCATTTATATATTCCTTAAATTTTAACTTCAAATAGATTATGCTAAAAATATTAAAAATAACAAAGAATTATTTTTATTTGGTATTATAAATGTTAATGAAAAAAATAAACAAATTCTATAGATATAACAAAATTTACATTTCAAGTAACAACTTTTTTATTACCCAAAATTCCAAAAAATATACTTGCGCTTTGCCTAAAATTATTTTAATAAAAAAATTTGATCCTACTGGGAAAAGTCAATTCAGATACAAAAAACAAACTATCCTCTTAAATATTTTTTCTAAAAAGATATATTTTGGTCCAGGAGGGGAGTATTTGACAATTCATTAACAATTAATCAAATCCTTCTATCTAGGTTACATAGAGTTATAGTATTTTCTAGCAAATATCTCTAAATTTCTTTAATTAGTCGTTTGATTTTTTAACAAAATTAGAAGGTTTCTCAAGTTTGATAAAACTAACCCTGTTTTTGAAAATTAAAACTTCGAAAAAATTAAATGTTTATCTTAGATTTGCATAAGAAATCCTAATTCTTATAAAAATGACTTTTTTGCGAATAGATTAATCCTCACAAAGCATTACAAAATCTTTTCCCGTTTCTTCTCAATCAATTTATATAAGAAATAGATAATTATTTGAATTAGAGAGATATTATCTTATTAGAATTAATACTACAGTCAACTCAATAATAATTTTATTGAATAACTGCTATTTCAATAAACACTTTAATATACGATTTAAATACATAATCTTTTAAATTTTCTCCACTAACATCAAAACATACAATTGAATAGCTCTAATAACTACTCACCTCTCGAAATATATTTTCAATTCTCTAATCATTTTGATTTCCAAAAAAGCATTAATTTAAAGTAAGATCTCATTATTTTCCTTACTATCTTATTTAAGGAAAACAGAACTAATTAGATTTAAAAAAAGAACTCTTGAACTAGTTTATTAGGTGGATTGTTTTCAGCAATAAGGAAGTATCCAATAGGTAAAGGATAAGTAAATATGACTACTTGAACTGTTTATTTTGATTTTGATGTCTCATTTATCATATTAGAATTTATTACCAAATTAATTAAATTTAATAAATATTAACCTTAAATACTTGAAATACGAATAACTTTTCAATTCAAAAGTTAAAATAAAGAAGAATGGAAAGAAAGTATAACCAGCTAATTTTATAAAATATTTAATTGACTTAAGAGAAATTAATTTGTTGAAAGATACAGTTAGCTAGCCTTATTCAAATATGATAGATGGATTTATAAGATTTAGAGGATTCAAAATGGTAAAATTAAAAAAATGATAGAATTGTAATTGGAAATAATCAAAAGCTAATCCTTTTAGTCTTTAAAATGTTATTCTTAGGTTTTAAGTATCAAAAGTCTCAACCTTAAGTTTTCTTATTCTATGAAGTAAGTTTACTTATAAGAGAATCTTCCATCAAAATTGCTCGAATATCAAAATCACTTATAGAACCCTTATTTTATTACTATTTTTAAGTAATTAATTATTCTCACTCAGTTAGATCATTATACTATTTAATTCCAACTGATTATATCCATAGATTCGATTAATCTCAAAAAAAACTTTTATTCAAGTTCCTCATTTGTAAACTCTACTAACAAACTTGATAGCACAAATTATTCTTATTTCTTTTTCGTAATCCTTTAAGTTATTTATAGTTCTCATGAGCTAGTCTCAATCTTTCCCATAAGATTCCTGTTTGGAAATATCTTCGATGTTCTCTGAATTCTGGCTTCAGTATTAAGAATTAATGATATCTGCAAGCAAGGTTAGCAGAAATTATCATCATTAATTTTTTATTAAAGTTTCATGCTCATAAATATTCCTCCTTATTAATTAATTTAGTTCTTCTGATAAACTACTTCCATCTTCAATCTGACTTTCTATTTCTTCAGCTCTCTAAATAATTGAGTAGGCAAGAAGTTTCCTAAAATAATCTCCTCTAAAATCCTCTCATTGTCAGACTCATACCTTCCATCATAACAAAACTATTTAATCAAAGGCTCTCCAACTTACTTAACTTATAAGTTTAGTGGGAAGCCTATCTCAAAAATTTCTCTTAATAAATATATATAAGTTTTTTGTCTACTTAATAACAATTAGTTATCGTTCCATCTCATGACTTGAACATATCCCTAAGCTGCAGAGTAAACCTAAAGTGAATAAAGCTTTTGATATTAATTAGGGAAAATTCTATTATAATGTACATGAATCTATCTAGCTGCTTGAAGTAATTTATTAACCACCTAATCAATCAACTGACAGTGGCTCATGCATTATAATTTTCTATTTCACCTTTTAATTCTCAATCTTTTACTAAATATTAATTAATACTGATATTATTAACTTGGTGATTTATATAACTTCATCTTTATTCATTCTAACCATTTACTTATGTATTCAATTATAGTTACTAAAAATAACTCTTTTTCTTGAAATACTCTACTTATTTGAAAACTCATTTTATTTGAAGAAAAAGCCTTTTAAGGTTAGCTCTTAAATTTTCAGAATATTCTTAAAATAAAATGTTAAAGACTTCACTTGCAAGAATTTAATTTATGTTAATAATAAATTTATTGGGTTGAGTCTAATAGATCTTATTAACGAATATCAAACATATCTGCACTTCTAATTTCATTATTTTTGTAATTTTCATTCTAAAGTTATCTATAAATAAATATTTACAATTTTGCTTAATTCATTACAATATTTGATTTAGCTCATTTATTTTTAATACTGAATCTTTATAAAATATGAGTATCTAAAATACTGAAAGTTTAATTATAGGCATATTAGCAGATTAATTATGTTTAGTTTCTTCTTAATCAATAATTTTAATAAATTTTTTAACTCTTCTATTTTAGTATATTATATAAGTATAGTTAGATCATAGGATATTATAAAAAATAAATAAACACTTTTTAAACTAAGCTTTATAAATAAAAGGCGCAACCAAAATAAAAGTTGTCCCTTCAATGATATTTTAGCAGGAAAAAAGAAACAAATCTTTAATTGATTCATCTTCATCTATATATGCAAAGACGTCGGTTGATTACATCATTAATTAAAATAGAAAACTTACTTTATTGGTTTTATATAAGGATACATTATCGAACATAAGATGAATAATATAATTAACATATCCCTAACTTCAAAAATGAAGAAAGTATGACGATCAAGCAATCCATCTTTTATTTCTTGATATTAGAAACAATTAACCCTCGATCTTCGCTCTCTTGTCTTACTAGTTGTTCAGCATACAGTAGAACTAGTGGCATTTGTATTATTTGTAGTGCTTCCTTATCGGGATATTACTTTATAGGGTAAAATTATAATGCATGCCAAGCAAGTGATTGTCTACAATGTCAACTACCATGTTTAACTTGTGTAACAGGTAATTCAAATTGTTAAACATTTAATGACTCAGCTAATTAAGAAGGTTCTGGCTGTCAATCCAAAGCAGGAGATATTATGAAAAATGCAATTAAGTTAATTTCCTGTGCCAAATATTAAAAATTTAATTATTGTTTAACATCTACTTCAACTTATACATTGAATTCTATTAATTATACTTATGAATATTAAAATAACTAATATGAGTAAAATAATACAACTTATAATGAACAGTACAAAAATTGAAGTTCAAGTACAATTTTTACAACATACAATGACCCGATTCTTAAAACAGAATCTCCTGCACATCTCCAACAATTATCTATTTGAAAGCATCTTTTTATTTGTTAAAGTTGTGTAAGCCTTTGCCTAAATTATTGGTGATTATTCTGATCAAATTAATAGTAGATGTTATTCTAATCGTAGAGATTCATATAAAACTACAGAAGGGGAATGCGATGATGGTAATTAATTATCAGGGGATGGATGCAATTAATATTTTAAATAGGAGAAATAAATCCTTTGTAAAGATGGAATATATATTATTAATCATGAAAGTATAACACTGTATTATACCTGAATATCCTATTCCAGTATTATTCAGCTATGGAGATTCTTCTTTATTTCCAAGCAGCAACCTTCAATCATTTTGATATTTGTCATATTTATTACAGATAATTACTTTTGGACAAAAGTTTATCCTCAAATAACAATTAAATCAATCCTTAAAAAATAAAAATAAAATATTATTTAAAAGTAAATAAATAATACGTTATAATAATAAAAGAACATTTGATTTAAATANACATCATTAATTAAAATAGAAAACTTACTTTATTGGTTTTATATAAGGATACATTATCGAACATAAGATGAATAATATAATTAACATATCCCTAACTTCAAAAATGAAGAAAGTATGACGATCAAGCAATCCATCTTTTATTTCTTGATATTAGAAACAATTAACCCTCGATCTTCGCTCTCTTGTCTTACTAGTTGTTCAGCATACAGTAGAACTAGTGGCATTTGTATTATTTGTAGTGCTTCCTTATCGGGATATTACTTTATAGGGTAAAATTATAATGCATGCCAAGCAAGTGATTGTCTACAATGTCAACTACCATGTTTAACTTGTGTAACAGGTAATTCAAATTGTTAAACATTTAATGACTCAGCTAATTAAGAAGGTTCTGGCTGTCAATCCAAAGCAGGAGATATTATGAAAAATGCAATTAAGTTAATTTCCTGTGCCAAATATTAAAAATTTAATTATTGTTTAACATCTACTTCAACTTATACATTGAATTCTATTAATTATACTTATGAATATTAAAATAACTAATATGAGTAAAATAATACAACTTATAATGAACAGTACAAAAATTGAAGTTCAAGTACAATTTTTACAACATACAATGACCCGATTCTTAAAACAGAATCTCCTGCACATCTCCAACAATTATCTATTTGAAAGCATCTTTTTATTTGTTAAAGTTGTGTAAGCCTTTGCCTAAATTATTGGTGATTATTCTGATCAAATTAATAGTAGATGTTATTCTAATCGTAGAGATTCATATAAAACTACAGAAGGGGAATGCGATGATGGTAATTAATTATCAGGGGATGGATGCAATTAATATTTTAAATAGGAGAAATAAATCCTTTGTAAAGATGGAATATATATTATTAATCATGAAAGTATAACACTGTATTATACCTGAATATCCTATTCCAGTATTATTCAGCTATGGAGATTCTTCTTTATTTCCAAGCAGCAACCTTCAATCATTTTGATATTTGTCATATTTATTACAGATAATTACTTTTGGACAAAAGTTTATCCTCAAATAACAATTAAATCAATCCTTAAAAAATAAAAATAAAATATTATTTAAAAGTAAATAAATAATACGTTATAATAATAAAAGAACATTTGATTTAAATATAATAAAATTTTAGATTTGTCTCAAGATAATATTATAGGGATTATATATAAAAAAAATGAATAATAATCCAATTAATATTCCTTATATTAGAGAAAGATAATATTCATTTAATAATAGATTCTATTATCAAGGCAACATTAATTTTTCAATAAGTTTCAAGATATTATTTAATAGACGTACAACATATAATGAGCTTTTTATAAAGATATTAAAATAAATTTTTTACTATATTTCTATCATTCTAGGTTTTACTGTATTATTTTAAAGGTAGTGAAAATACAAATTTTTTTAATATATTTTGAAGTCTAGATTAATACTTTATAATTTTAAGGTGTTTACTTCTTTTTGTGTAAAATACTTTTCTGTAATCAAAATCACCTTTACTTTTGGAAAATTCTTATTAACACTTTTGAATGATGATAATTTGTGTAGATACCATAGGGTGATGAATAAGATATTATATGCAATTATAAAAGGAAAAATGGCATTTTTAATAAGAACAATGAAAAAAGAGTAATATTAGAAAAGTCTAATAAGGCTGAATGTTTAGGACTGGAACCAATAATTTTAACAAAATATATGTTTA